TAGTGCATTTATATTTAAATAGTATTGGACAGTGGGCAATGACAATTTAAAATATAATCTATATATAACAGACAGCAATATAATCATTGTTTAACAACAGTATCTGTATTTGCTTGCTAAAGCCAGAAATATTTGTCTTTGTTTTCTTTCTCACTTTCAAAAGTAAGAATAAAAATTGTTATTAGCTACAAACATTTCCCATCATTCAATAGCACAGGCAGTCGATATTTAATTTAAAAACACAGAAAAATGTCATAATAAGATGTTTTTTGTACATCTATCACGTCAAAGATGTATTTTCATCTGTTGAATTTTAACAATTACAATAATTTAATAGTAATGTTTAGAATAGCAAAAGTTAAAATAATTAAATTTTGCTGATCCACGATGGATTTTAATGGAGAATAGTTACAAATTTCAAGTAATAGATTATTTCTATTCCATCGATTATAATTTTAAACATTTCATGTTTTAGTAAGCATCATTGTTTTATTTTTCACACTGTGTCCAGCAAGTTATTAAGCAACATGAGCTAGAATGAAAATCCACTATCCACACTCTCTATCCCCTGTACATATTTCAGAGTTTGCATGCAGTTCTGCCTAATTCAACAAAATGTTTCCAATCCTTTCCTTGTGGCCAAGTTAGAAGGCTAAAATATCTGTCTAGCAATCAAGTAACAGTGAAATCATGTAATCAGCAATCTTTCTAAAACCAACAGGTTTTATTCAGCACAAATATGAGCAGTAGTTGTAGTACTTTTTACCTCTGGATCTAGGGAGACCCGTGTCTATCTACTTCTAAGAAAGCAAAATCAGGATAAATGAGACACTTAGCATTACCAGAAAAAAAAGATAACAAAGATGGTTTTGTGGCCATACATCTTTGCTGCTAACAGGCAAAACACCTCACCAGGGTGTATGTACACCTGCATCCCAAATGCAAATGCAAGGTGCTATACTATGAAAAATTTTTGTGTTTGGAAAGAAATCTCATTTTTCTTTAACAAGCAATGGCCTACAGTTGTATTTCTCAAAAATTAACAAGCATCATTTAACTTGTGTTTAAAAAGAAATAAGAATGAACAAAACAGTGATTCATGTATTACACCTCCAACTCCCATCCTTCCAGATTTCCTATTTCTTGAAGTTCAGTGGATTTAAATACAGGAGGCTCCTTAGCAAGGTACTCTCTTTTTTAAAAAAATAATAATTGCTGTTATGTACAGAGAAGTTACAGTTACATAAGTGCAGTAATGAGTACATTTCTTTTTGGACACTGTCCTCTCTTCCCTCACTCTCTCCCAAGAACTACCAAGAACTCACTGGATGTCAGGGCTAGCATAGGTAAAAGTGAAAGTTAACAATGGTGATGATGAGGGTGATGATGGTAATCTCTGAAAGCTAAAGTTTCAAGTTAGATAAGGTAATATCAAAGCTGAGGATACAGAAGGTACTTAATAAATGCAGGTTCCCTTTCTCCTTAAATGTCTATACCTGGAAGGAGATTGAAGTTTCTTGTTTTCTACAAATGCAACTATTTGGGAAATAAGAGATATTCAGACATATTAGGGGGAAAGAAACAATTAAAAAAAAAAACAGTTCATATCCTAAAGAAGTCACTATGGAATGCTGCTACAAGAGCCGAGCAATCAACCAAGAACTGACTGAAGTGAACTCTTGGGATAGAATGAAACAAATGGAGCAATGAAATATTGGGCCTACTTTCTATTTGGACATTTTCCCCCCACTTAACTGCAAATGTCTTAAGACAATGGACTGAAAACATCTTGAATGTTTTTGTGTGTCAACCAACTTACTTTGAAGTATTATTTAGATGAAGTAAACCAATGGATATTTTCTTCTTTATAACTTAACTAAAACACCCAATTAATTAGAAATAAGATTGGGCCCCAGTGACTCAACCCTAGCTAGTCAGGAAGCTGGAATCTGAGGATAATAGTTCAAAGGCAGCCTTGACAGGAAAGTCCTCTGAGACTCTCACAAGGTAGAGATTACTCCAAGGTAATCTCCAATTAACTACCAAAAGGCAGTAAGTAGAGAGGTGGTTCAAGTGGTAAAGATCCAGCTTTGAGTGAAAAAGCTAAGAGACAGCGCCCAGGCCCCCAGTCCAAGTCCCAGTACTGGCGCGTGTGCGTGCACACACACACACACACACACACACACACACAGAAATAAAAATTAATTTGTAAGAAAAATACAATTTAAATTCTCAAGGATGATTAAAAGCAATTTATAACAAGAAATGTGTCAATCACTGTAACTTGCAAAGACATTACAACATAATGTCCCCCTCAGATGCAAATGATAAGAATGTCTCTGCCATGGTTAATGTTGTTGTTGTTGTTGTTGTTGTTGTTGTTACTACTGGTGTGTGCATCTGTTGACCTGGATTTATCAGAATACCCATTTCAGTCACCTACTTATCCTTAGCTTCTCAAATGTGATATTTATTACAAACATCCATGATCTTTACAGCTTGTGAAACTGCCTTTCACATTCTCTACAAAGCAAAAAAGCTCACACTCTGTCATAATCTTGGAAAATAAAGGTACCAATATTGGTGAATCAACTTGGAAATCATCTTATGCAAACTCTTAATTTTTACAAACGAGGCAACTGACTTCTGTGGGGAAATGAAGCAAAGGTGCAGAGAGAGAGAGAGACAGACAGACAGAGAGAGAGACAGAGAGAGAGAAAGAGAGATTCAGATGAGTGGGAGGGAAAAATACCAAAAGATTAGCCAAAGAATTCATATGGAAACATGGTAGAAGAAAATAACTGTGTTCCCAAGTACTATTTCAAGCCCTCAAAGGCATGTATACTTATAAGGTTTAAGTTACATAAAAAACTTCCAAAGCATCCATGGAGGAGCAGACTGGAGATCTGCTCACCTTCCTCATCCTCCTGAAAACTCTCAGGTTGACTCAAGTCATCACATCTTGGAAGTTTGAGTCCATTTGAACACAACAGAATCCCAATTAACTGAAATGAACCAATTGCCTGATACAAAGTTCCTCGTTATTTCTATTTTCCACAGTGTCTCTTCTTAATTCTCCAGACAAACCCCAACAGGCAGTATCTAAAAGAAGCATCAGTCTGCAAGGCTAACCCACGTTAACTGAGCACACCTAATGTGACAAAACTTAAGAGGTCTCCCAGCCCAACTTCTAATTCATTCTGGAATGGTCGCATCTTCCCACTTCAGTTTTGTTACAAACCTCAGAGGTTCTAATTCCTAACTTCTTAGGATAGGTAACATGGCCAAGCCTACATGATAGATAAGGGGAATCATTTATAAGATGATCTCTTTTGTACTTCCAATAGAATCTGGAATGAAAGTCTGGCTAAGAAAGCCATCCTGAAGACCACAGGTTAGATATTTTCCCAGTAGAAAAATATTGGTTTACATAACAGGCCAGACAGTCATATAAGTTGTAACAGGTAACAAACTCAACTCCAAATAAAAGTCAAAGTGACTAACGTTAATAATAAGTACAAGCAAACCAAAGAATTGGGAATTCGGTTAATGATATATATTCAGAGTAATTTAAAGAATCCTCTTATTTCAGATGATTTTACTTAAAATACTATTTGTTTTGGTTTCTGTGGGGCCTTGGAATATATAGCTCTCTGAAAGGATCTCAAGATAATATGAAAACTCTCTCTCCATATATATATATATATATATATCCTGGAAAAAATCTGTTTCCTCAAAACTGTTCTTGCAATTTAGATTCTAAAATACACAACTTGAAATCCATTTATATCTGTAGTTTCACTCTCTAATTTCCAAGTTGAAAATCAGTTTTCAAATGACTATGAATATACCCTCAAAAGCCAAAGGGCAGTTTTTAAATTACAAATTTGTAAGCATTACACAGGTTTAATGAGTTAAGTTAGTTAATGATTTATAGTGAAACTCTAGAAAGAGAAAGTAAAAAAAAATCAACTTTTGTTGATCTAGTTTTAACACCTCTTAATTTTATGTATTGTTTTATGAGCCCCAAGAGGCTAGGTAGGCATCTTCTTTCGGTGATGCAGGAGATAAGGTTTGGTTTGACTTGCATGCACAGAAAATGCAGGTAGGAAATATTTTCTGCAACAGCAAAGACAATATGCCTTTTTTTTTCTTTAATGTTGCGATCTAGAAGCTACGTGAGAACTTTGGGGAGCATAAAATTAGTCTGTTTTAAGTTTATTAATCAAATAGTAGATGAAAGAACACCAATTCCGTGTCTACAGGAATTAGCAGCACAGAGGTTACAAAATGTAACCCCTTCCCCCTCAATGGGCAAGCGAAGAATAAAACCCATGCAATTATAACCCACAACTAATAGGTCGCATTTACTTTGAAAGCATACATTTACAAATATAGAGTGTGCTTTATTTTTAATGCCCATGTTTTAAAACACAGCAAAATTGCAGAAACCAAAATTTAATCCTGAGGTGAATTGGTACATATTTACCTTCATAATTGACCCCAGTGGGTCAAATGATGGCAAGGTAAACTGACCTAAACCACCTTTTTTTTTAAATGTCTGTCCGAATTGGGAGCCTAAATGTTTCTCAGCAGAGCCTGGAATGGATTCTGTGCAGGTGAAGAAATCCACGCGCGCCAGCTGGGTAAGGAAGAAACCTAACTTTCTCAAATAAGTTCAGTCTTGTCGACCTAAATCCAACAGGTGTCAACACACGTCGCCCACCCTCCCCCCGGGAAAAAAAACCTCCTCTGAACACTGCCTAGAGAAACACCAGATAATTCATGGAGAAACTGAAAGGACCACTATCAGAATTATGAAATAAAGCAAGCTGGATCTCCATCCCAACTGATCGCTTCGCCCCTCGCCTGCGCACGGGAGAGACGCGGGGAGCCGGCGCTCCGCCGTCCCCACCAGGGCCTTTGGGCTGAGCCCTCGGTGCCCACAGCTAGACCCTCGGCCGGAGGCGGGGCGCCTGGGCGGGGAGGGCGCGCGGTACCTGCTTGTCCAGCGCGTCCCGGCCGCCTCCGGGGCCGGCACCGGTCCTGGGTGGCGCGGGCGTCCGTTCGCAGCTGCAGCCTTCCAGGAGATACATGCCCGCCGGGCGGCCGCTCTGCTCGCCCTCGAAGTAGAAGAGCACATTTTGGTAAAGAGCGAACCACTTCTCGTGCCAGCGGCTCGCCTCGGCCGCCTTTTTGCTTAGGAAGCCGCGCTTGGTGCCTTCCTTGCGCGCCAGGAAGGCCAGGTACAGGGCGTGCCCCTCGTTGTAACGCACGCTCTTCTGCATGGTGAGGGCGCCGGGGGCGCTCGGGCGGCCTCCCGCCTCACCTCGGCCCCGCTGTCATCGCCCGGCCGGCTCCCGCCCTCGAGGGCGCGCCTGGCCGCGGGCGCCCTCTTCCCCGAGTCAGCGCGCCGGGCACCCTGCCTGCCTCCCGGGCGCGGCGATGCGGGGGTCTGAAGGGCGCTCAGCACCTTCTCCGTCCCGACCGCGCCCTCCCGTGCGAAAGGAGGCCGGGACGCCGCGTGGAGAGCGGCCTCCCCCGCGCCCCACCGAGGGCGCCCGAGCCCGCCCCAGCTGCGCCCAAACTTAGAGAAGCCGAGCCCGCGACGGTCGGGCTGGGGTGCGCGACGCGCGGCAGCCGGAGGAGGACTGTCCTCGGGCAACGCGCTCCCGGAGACAGAAGGTAAAACGTCACGTGGGAGATCAGCCGTAATCGGCTTGCGGACAGATTTAAAGGGCAAAGTCGCCGCAGCAGCCTCGAGACCGCGCAGCCCGCTCAGCCCGCTCAGCCCAGAGCTAGTCCCTCCCTGGCCCGGCCGGCCCGGCCCGGCGGCCTCTGCCCCTGCGCCGCCAGGATGGGGCCCTATCTCGGGGAGGTGGAGGCGCTGGGCACCACACACACGCTCACACGCACCAGACGGTCACGCACACACACAGGCAATTACAAATCCACAATGCACACGTTTTGTACAAATCCAGAACCCATAACTCAAACACAAAAATAATCCACACAATGTGCACATTCTAGGCAAATGACTGTGCGTACTCACAACACATTTTCACAAATACGCATTCACGCAATGAGCACACTCATAGCAGCATTACAGCCACGTGTAACACATCCGTATATTCACAAATACAGATAGATGCACAACTATATTCACTGTGCGTTTCTCACAAAAATGTAAATTCACAACTATCACAAGTGTTCGCCAGATGCTCACACAGTCACACAACATACATTTACAATCATGCCCACATTTATACACAAGAAACACAAAAATATATACCTGTACCCAACATAAATACACATATACACCGGTAGAGAGTCACACAAGCACATGATCCTAAGTACACGCACATTCACAAACGTATACATTCACCCTCAAAACACTCATACACAAACAAACACACAAAAAGTTTACTCACATGCCCACATTTCACAAACCTACTAACTTGCAGGACAGTAGCTAGAGTCCCAGGATGGATTTGCATAAACCACAGTGTTGACTTTTCTGCTTGTACCTGCATGGGAGTATTTAAAGCAGGAGGCAAAAGGTAAAGAGAGAAGCCCAAGTGTTCCCAGAGAGTCATCGGTTCTTTCTGGGCACCTGTCTTTCACAGGATTACGATAACAGAAACAAAACTTTTTAAAACTTTTTGTGCAGAATTGTTAAACTGATACCCAAACCATCAATACTACACAGAACCCAACGCATAGGCCAAGCTATCACAGGTTTACCAGAATCCCTTGCTAGGACAGGAATTCATTTGATTAACAAATCACGCAGCCACAGCTACAGAACCATCATCCCACTCCCCCGAGCCTGCTATAAAATCTAAGTGGAAAAGAAATGGTGAGTGAGAAGGTGAATTTAATCAAGGGTATATTGTATGCATGAGTGAAAACATCACAATGAAACCCCTTTGTACAAATAACAGGTTCTAATAAAAATGTTCTCTTTAATTAAAAGGAAATAATGTATAAGAAATTTCAAGAGAAAGCTAGTGAAATTCCAGAAGTGTCAATGTGTCAATTCTTTATTCTTGGTCACTTATTAAAATGGTTTGCCAAAAGCTGTTTATCTTAAAAAATAAGAACTAAAAAAATGCTTTTCCAGGCTGTAACTTGGTGACATTATACCTGTCTGGTCCTGCCACTTGTGTGCTCAGCAATTGGTCGCTGCAGGGTTCATCTGGTTTTCTGTAAAGCTGCCTTTGCTAAGTATTCTAACTCTGCTCCACTGAGCAGCTGAGTGGTTTTTGCATTTTGTCCATCAAGAAAAACTTCCCCTATTAAACATTGTGTAATAGGAAAATTGCCATTTTGAAATGGCTGAGAGAACAGTGGTCATTCTCTTTACATATTTTTACATATCTAAGGGGCAGTGCAGCGCCCAGTTGTATTTAACCTGGCTAAGAACTTGCATTGTTCTTTAGAGGAGAAAGCAGTAGAGAGATGGTAAATGAAGTGCAGAAGAGATTTTGAGCCAGATTCTGGATATGGGAAGATGGTGGTTGTCACAGGGGCCTTTTCTTTCTTCTCTGTGGTTCAGGTGCAAGTAGAGACATCAAGTGTAGCTGGTGAGTTCTGTTTTCAAGGCCAGCCATTAAGGATGTGAAATCAGTACAAACAGTTTTACAGTTCATATGCAGACCTTCTAACCCACTGGAGTTTATTTTTCCAGATGTGAAAGAATATTTCTCTCACTAAGCAATATCTCCACTACTAAGTATAACCTCACATACCTGTTCCATCTGTCTAAAGGTCCATCTGAACCTCATGGAGTATTAGTCTCAATTTCTTGTCTGACATTGCTTCCTACAGTGTAAGATAGAATGGTTCTCATATGCCCTCGATCAGTGAAAGAGGAAAAAAACAACTGTAGCCTCCAGAATTTGGCTGGTGACTATAGTGGATTTTAGCTATCAAAATTCACTACAACACCTGTTTATTGATCATAAGTTTATAACCTAAATGCGGTACGAGGTGATGTGCACAAGACGTGGTTCACAATCCTGGCATGCTCAGAAGCTGCTAGGAGGACAGATTCATGGTTAGAAGATTCTTCTGAACTGCTTTCCGGGTGAAGGCCCTGTTCTAATCCTTGCAGGATACCAGAGGGAGAGCCTGTATGCATACACAAGTGATTCACAAATATTTTCTAAAATTAATGAGTAATATTTGGTCATTGACTTGTTAAGAAGAGCACCAACATGCAAATTTAGACCATTCTCTAAGATTTTTAAAAGTGAAAATCAGAAATTTATGGGCAGTCTAAACAAACTATACCCAGTCAGTGTCTGACAGATGTGGTGGGTCTGGTGCGCCTTCATTCACATGGAGACTACACCGATGGAACACTGCCATGAAGCACAAAGGGCTAGGAGGCTATGGAAATGAGGATACTCCCCTTCCCCCAGCTGATCAAACAGGTTACCCAAAGGACTCTGTTCCAAATAGGTGGGAACAAGCACTTCTGTGGATTCATTATTGTTGTCGCTTGCATTTTGTGGATCCAATTCTGAGAGGGCCTGTTTAAAGGCATCAGGGGGGAAGCATATTATTTTTCACTAATAACAGTAAAAGTGTCCTCTTTTCCCATTCTAGACAAGAGGAAAACATGGCAGTAGGTGGTCATCTCTGAAAAACACTACCTATAGCCGAAGAGTCAATTCAGACAATTTAAGGAAGAATAAAGAAAAGGAGACAAAGGAAAAGGGAGAGGGAAGAGGAGAAGGAGCAAGAAGGAGAGAGAGGCAGGAAAAAGAGAGAAGGAAGAAAGGGAAAAGGAAAGAGACATTTTATCTGAGTTTGTCCAAAGCTTTTAAAGTTGAGGTGGGAAGTGTACAACCTAATCTGCAGCTTTTCAAAATCCCCAACTCAATCATTATCTTCCAGACACAGAAGGGAGGTTTAAATTTGTTTCCTTTCCCTAGATGCTGGCTCGTTTGTAGAAATTTGAATGAGCTGAATTACTTTCTCCAATAATCTTTTTTCTATGGTTGCTGTAGTTCAAACATTCCCCAGGACTGGGTTCTGGGAAAGATAAAGATAAATATCCCTTCTGCTCTTTAGAATAAAACGACAAGGACAAATAAATTGGAGAAAAGACAAATTTATGAGATACATGTAGAAATTACAGAGTATATTTAACCACTAATCCAAACAGTTCAGAACTTTATATACTGTACCTCCTTTCCTATAGAATGGGGAAAATGGGAAAGTGGAAATTTTTCAGGAGCCTAAATGATCTAAATGATTATTGGCATTTGAATGCACCCAAGAAGCAGACTGTATCTTGGAAATGAAGTCTGGGCAGGTGTGGTTACAGTCCTGTCTTCTGTTCCAAGAGAGAGAAGATTTCAGCATGAGGATGGAGGAGCAGTCTGGTTTTAATGCAGATAAGAGCTTCTTCCTGCTTTTGGAGAAAAGAATAAGACAAGTTTAGAAAGATCTCTATTTTGAGCCCGACTGTAAGACCTTTTTACTTCCTTTACATCAGATACTTCAATATGCAAACAAAATGCCCTATTGGGGATTTCATTCATTTCATTTAGATCAAGATACCTTTTCTTGGCTTGACAGATCGAATGGTCAAGTTGATGGCTGATAGATAAGGAAATGGATTTTTTTTTTGTGGGGGGGGTTCCGGTCGTGGGGCCTGAACTCTGGGCCTGGACACTGTCCCTCAGCTCTTCAGCTCAAGGCTAGCGCTCTACCACTTGAGCCACAGTGCCACTTCCAGCTTTTTTTTTCTTTTTGCTTATGTGGTGCTGGGAAATCGAACCTAGGGTCTCATGCATGCAAGGCAAGCACTCTACCACTGAGCCACCTTCCCAGCCCGGGAATGGATTATTTTTTCATCATTCAGCTTCCCTTAGAATCTCAGATAACTGCTAAAGGATAACAGTGTTGCTAGCTCCAAAAGATAACTGCTTTTGTATCCTCTCTTGATAATTAGTAAAGCCAGGTTCTTCCCAGTGTGCTTTTATCTAAACAGAACTTCTTATTTACCAAAGATGAGATGCAAAATACTACTCTGAATTACTTGGAATTAATAAAATCATTTGTCTGTCTTTGTGATGTGTCAACTAACTGTAATATTCTGAGTAGTAAATGTTTGTTTTTCAAGCATTAAAAATGAGATACACCTCTACTGGAAAGTGTGGCACTTTTTTTTTTGCATTTTCTTAATAAAAGTCACTATTCTAAACACAAACTATCTAGACACAAACAGCTAGACCAGAGCTGTTGTTAAACTATACTTTTTTATGCAAAATAAAAGAAGTTACACCCTGGCCCAGATACTACTGAGAATACTCACTGATGTCTTTAGG